TATATATATATATATATATTAATATACATTTTCAAACACAATATTAACCATGTTAGGTCTATCATCATGTCCCTTGCTCAAAATCTTTTGTGTGTAATATTACAAGAGATATGTTAATGTGGATAGAATATTAACATACATGCATACATAATTTGATAAGATTTTTTTTATTATTATTATAATATATGATCAACCAATCTAGAATGTGATTTAATATTTAAGAAATTTGATCAAGTAATGAGTCTGACCGGATTTTGGTGGAACAAAAGGTTTGAACTGGATATTGAAACGTGAAAGATGGTGTAGAATGACCCCATTGAGATTCAACAATTGCCTTGCAATTTTCATCAATTTCTTCTTATCTCCATAGTTGGACTGGTTGAATGCCAATATAACAAGAACACCATTCACTTCAATCATGCTTGGGTCATTTTCAAGAACTTCTGTCGTACAGAAATTTTTTCTGTATATATTCTTTTCTTCCTGCATAATAATTTTGGTACAGATAAGACAAAGCTATTGCAGGATTGGTTACTTAGAATTGATTTGCGCTTTCTTCTTAGCCACATAAAGACAGGATTGCTTTGCTCAGAAGCACACGATCTTATGCTTAGTAAATTGGGAAACTTATTAACATTTTGAGACTAACAGGATCAATGATTAGACACAGAAAGGTTGTGGAAAATTAGACATGAAGAGCAAGAGCTTCGTGAAAGCTGCAGGATGTGGGACTTGCAAGTGAACTAGTTTGCCCGAGTTGTTGGGGATAGAGAACATTAGCATCCCATTGCAAGCCATCCAAGCCATGCCCTGCGCTTCTTTTTGTGCCTTCTGTCTTTTTGGGAAGTTTTTGAAATTCTTACACAAGCTTCTGCAGTGCAAGTGATATCCTGCATAATTTCCAAAATATGTTCATGCTACTAGAAAATACGTCAAGAATATTAGATAGGCCATCTAGCATACTATTCCAAGAAAGGAACTCTTAAGACATACTTGATCTGTAAGAGAATCTTGCTTCTCTTGGTGGGTGATGATCATTTGCTCATCCTCCTTGGTGATTATGGTTGAAACCTCATCACGGCCCATTTTTTCAGGTCCTTGAAAGGTGGAAGAGCTTGACCTCAATGTGTTTTCTACATCCACCTCTAGGCTTAACTGATGAATTGAAGATCAGAGAAGATTAAGCAGGTAATAAGAGTTCAATCACCACAAAGACTTTACAGCGACATTTTGGGGACTTGAGATTTGAAGGGTTAGCGAATCTTCAAAGAAAGGGCTCTCGGAGATTCCCACGTAAAATCCAACTATCAGCATTGCAGATCAATACAGATATCTGAAAAAAAAATTTCAAGATATATAAAATGATGTTTAGAAACCTGTAATACTCGGTTTTCGAGCATTTCTAGTCTATCCATCAGGGTGCCTTTGTGTTGAACTTCCTCAAGTGCAGATGATAAATTCTTGCACTGATCTTCTGCTTCCACTGTCCTGACTACAGACTTGGCTGTGTGCCTTCCTGACAAGGAATGCTTCTCTTCCAGAAACTGCAGCTGCATATATTCATCAAGAGAAGTAAAACGTCCAAATCCAAACATGAATCAAAATGAAGCAATGAATTAGAGGTCCTAAGCATATATTAGCACAATTGAAATGCATTACCAAACGATCAAGGCGATCCAATCTTGGTAGAACAGGCAAAGGAGGAGAGAATTCCTGCTTTTCTTCCTGCCCCATGATTGCCAAACAATGATCAGATCCTTCTCAAGTTTGCAGTTCAGAATGCTCCTTTTGCAACCTTTCAAACTATCATATAGATATGCTGCATCTATGGTGGCTGGAAAGAAATGCTACCTTTCAGACTATAGCATTTATACAAGTAGTTTGTTTTTTTGGAGGGGCTTTAAATGATGACCACCTTGTCATACCCTATTGTCCTTATTCAGGTAATCATCTACACCAGATATTTTATTTTTATCCCATCATGCTTGCCTTGTCTAGTCTATCTTCACTTCTTTTATTTCCCAAAATCTTTATCATCTTGGATATGGAGGCGTCTGTTAACAAACTTGTCAAAGGTATGGCCATTGACTTGAGATGAGGCCCAGAAGTCCCAATCAATAACGGTGCCATTAAGTGTATTGATTTGCCTCAACCACTCCTGATAAAAGTAATGTACTTCTGCAAATCTGCAATCATCCAAGTCGTGCAAGTCTCAATCTATGAACTGATTAGATTGATCATGCTCCACACTCATAGCACAAGTATATTGGTACTTCTAGGCTATTTTGCGCTTTATCAAGACATCGATTGCTCCACGTACGAGTGACTTAATCTACTTCATTATGCTCTGCAAATCAATTGGACGGTCCATTTAGCTATAAGTGTCGATGGCAGAACAACTGTCAAACTTTGCCCCTTTTTTTGTACAGTGGAACCCAACTAGGGATGCTTTTTTGGAATCATCAACGAAAAAGACAAGCAATTCGAGCATTAAAAAAGCTGTCTGAAATGTAAAATGTCAGACAAGTTGACTGCTTTTGCACATTTCCCATGCTCATGTCACATTCTAGTTAACTACTAGATGTTCATTTACATATTGGATGATGCCTAAACATTGGTTAGAACAAATTTGACATATTTTGATGGGTTGATGTAGTTCCCTTGCTTGCAGTATGCAACTCATTGCTACAATCAGAGCCCAGTTTGGGAAATGCATTTTTTTTTAAATGTAGAGGAAGTGTGGGATAGGAGATTCTGGAGGGAGGTACCATCAAGGGATATTGACGCAGGCGGTAATTCTGATTTGCCAATTTTAAATTACAATGATTAAACTATGTAGCTTGGTTATTATAGACCAATGAAAATAAAATAAAAAAGTCTAAAAAAATTATAATTTTCAACTCAATTATTGGATTATGTTCAAATTTAATTTAGAGATTCTAAATATCTAACTTTATAGAAGGGTTATCTCATTATAGTTAGTCTAAACTTGAAAGTCCTTCAAGTTAGCTCCAAAAAATGTTATTCAGACAAGTTTTGTTGTTTTTCGTTTTTTTTTTTTGAATTTTCTTGTTTGTTTAATATTTTTTTTGCCTTTTAATTTATTTAATTTCCTACCTTATTTATTTCCCAATTTTTTTTTTAATTTTCTTGTTTATTTATTTAAGGAGTTTTAAAACTTTTAGAAAAATAGACTATTTAAAGAGAATATTCAATAATAAAATTTCAAGTTAGAATTTTGATGTGATAATATATTCAATAAAATTGTGTGTTGCTTGTATTTATTGTATTGTTAATTTTCCGTATGAGTTAAATATTAATCTTCTGACATTTATGCATTAGTATACCAGTATCTTCAAACAATATTAGCATCTAGTATTAAGCAAACAAAATTTAGCAAGATACAACAGCTTTGGCTTTATATGAAAAACCAAACCCCCCCTTTTGCGGCTTCTCTTCCAGTAATGATGGAAATAATCTAAGTCATCAACTATGATCCTTATCGAAAGGCTTGAGCAACCCAAAAGTAATTGCCATGGCAATCCAACCTCCAAGTAGGATTCTTACCGCCGATATCCTAATTGGTGAACCACCAAGATAAGCTCCGAAGCCTCCAACAAAAGCCAGAGCTATTGATGCAACCACAGCAATCACCACAATCCTAACAACATTTTGGGCCACAAGCACGGCAGGCAGCAAAGGCACACATGATCCTATCGAAAATGATACACCCGATGCAACGGCAGCCTTGTTGGGGTTTGTTAGCACCTCCTCTCCGTCATCCTCCCGCAATATTTCAGGACTTCTCTTTCCATCTTCTTGGATTACCTTCATTGCAGGATCCCTTCCGGGAGACATACCTGGGGGCAGCTTTGACTCGAGTATCATTCTTCGTGGCATTCTCTGTGTTGGCTCAGAGATGACCTTGGAGTCATCCAGCTTTGCTTCTCCTTTAATGCTTGCTGTAGTTGCGGTGCCATTGAGTCCGATTCCAGGAGCATCTTTCCCGTAATTTTTCGAACTGACGTGGCTAACAGTTTCCTTTTGGATATCTTTTTGGGTTGAGACAGAAACAAACTCCCCAACAGCCATGCTACAGGCACCTGCAACAGCTCCAGCCAGTCCAGATAAGACCATGGACCGTCTATCTTCCTTCGCTGCACCTATGCCAAGCATTAGTGATGCAGTAGAAAGCAGACCATCATTAGCTCCTAGAATAGCTGCTCGGAGCCATTGAGCTCGACGCAATCTCTGGACCTTTCGAGCATCTTCATCAGCTACTGAAATCGTATGTTCAGCACAAGTTCCTGATATTTGATGCAAAGCCATGTGGAAGAGAGTAGGGCTTTTAGCTTAGGGACGGACGTTTGGAAGGAGTGTGGCAAAATTGAATTGAAAGGCCAAGAGTTAAGAAAAATGAAAGAGGTACTCGTGTTTCATAGAAGATTAACACTATATTTAACTCATTGCTGCAAGTGTGACTTTAGAGATAGCCATCCCTCTTGTCTTGCTCATCAGCTTCCTTGTTAGCAGCTTGAACAGACTTGAACCACAAAAATGCCCGTAGACAAAGGTCATGTTAAGCTAAACAATGGGACTAGACAACTTCATCACCCACATGAGATAGTAGTAATTCATAATAAATTTCAAAATGAACTTTCAAAGTTTACCAATAATTGGATAATCAAGTCACAAGATTTTCTTCTCATCCATGCCCATAGCTATAAGATCATGCCAATATAAAAATTACCACAATGATGCTATCATCACATCATGTCAGGATCCACAGAATTTGAAGGATCAAATTCCTGAATCTTGATTGACATGCATTTCAGCTTAACACTGAGAAAGAGATGACACTTACAGAAGTAGGAATGCCCGTAAGTGCAAAGAATCCTAGCAATGGAGCGTACAGAATGCTGTCTGAGTTCACAATCCCGAAAACCGGCCTCTGATTCACATACTCAAAAATGGAACCAATCTGGACACATTGGATTTTAAACAATAAAACTATCTACTTTATTAGTATATAAAGCTATAGAGGAGAAACAAAAAAAAAAGTACAGGAAGTCAAGAATTCACAGCAGCAATTGCAGTAATTGCCGAGGCACGTAAATAAACAAAAATGGGAACTTCAAAGTTCTGCTTTGATGAGTTCTCTTTGCCTTCAACCTTAGCCCGTGGTGGGGGTTCATCAGAATCTAGTTTAGCCCAAGTGGGGATAGTTTCTTCAGATTTACTAGACTTTGCAGACCCTTCGGTTGCGGCACACACAAAAAACTTCCTTCGCTTTTGATAATCATTACAACACCCTCTGCTTCTCACTATTGATTGATTCAAATTCAGTACCTCCTGTCTTACAAAAAATTTGGAACATGAATCATGCATGCCTTATCAAGTCTGAACTGCACCAGCACAACAAGGTCGCAGAAGCCATAGTTTCCTTCTCTTCCCCCTTTCAAATTCCCCACACTTCTTTCAATTCTTCACTATATAGACCTAAAAGTATGGACAACATTGTAAAATCTTTATGCTAAGTTGCTAACTACAGCATGCAACTAGAACAATCTTGGTTTTCAGTACCAAAGACCCTGGTTCTTTCACTTTCTTGGCACCATCACTTCATGAATGATAAGTTAAGAACCGAAAGGAAAGTCCCATGAAAAAGAGAGAGAGCAGAAACTCTGCTAAACTTTGACATGCAATTGATTCATGTCAACTGCTTTAAAGCCAATTTTCAAGAATATTTCAGCATTCCTTCATTAGTAGCCACAGTAGATACAGCTAAGGATGATGATAACTGATGCAGACAACTCTAAATAGATTGAGAAAAAGAGAAGGAATACCTGTTGAGTTATGAGTTAGAACACAAGGTTGAAGAGAGTGAAGTGAAGCAGAGGACAAGCAGGGGTGCCGGTGCTTTTTAGCTTAGCCACACGCAACTCAAATGGTTTCTTCATTTCTTCAGCTTTTTTTTTTTTTTTTCTCCTTGGGTTCTTAGGAAGGTTTATTGAGCCTGGACACGTTGATGGGCTGGGCTTTTATATTAAGTTTTGTAACATATTATTCAAACTGAAATCCGAAATTTCAGGCGTCGTTCTTGGCGACACCGATACATCCACGATGTATCCGCAAGGAGTTTCAAATAGGGTGGTCCTGATACCGGAGACCCCACACTATCACCCGAAAACACGAGTGATCACGAGAGAGCCAATCCGGTGAGAGTTTCCTTAACTTTAAGTGTTTAAATTTCTGCTTTTATTTTTTTTATCTATTATGAATTACAATACTTCAAATAAAAAAAGTAATTTTAAGAGTAAAATTAAACTGTTTAAATTCTAAATTTATTTTTTAAAAATTATTAGTTTGAATCTCACAGATTTCAATACTATTAGAGACTTATATAATTATTAATTTTATAATTTATAAAATTAGTTAAAATATATCTATACTGACCCAAATACTCATAATAATATAAAAAATAAAGAATTCATGTATTGTTTTTTTATTTTTAGTGGTGAGCTGGCCACTAAAAATAAATACAACAACAAAAATAAACGTTCACAATAATGTTTAGGTGGGCTAATTGAGTAATTTTTTAATATATACTTTTTTTTTTCCTTCTAAAATAAAAGTGGATATACAATATTTTCAAGGGAAATTTCTCTAAAAAATAATTATAAACTAAAATATTTTTAGCACTAATAGCTATTTTCATGGGCTCAAAAGCAAAACTCTTACCTCCATTATTATCTTAGATTCTTAGATTCGGATGAGAAAAATAAAAATAAAAATCTTTTTTCATAACAACATCAGTATTAAGTATAGATTATTTATATAAAACTGGGAAAGAGGAAAAACTAAATTGAAAAAAATGTTGACTATCAAGTCAAAGAAAGGTGTCAGCATTGAAGAATCCTAGCGTTCAAGATAATTAGCAAGTCATTTTCTACCATGCTTGTTGGAGTGATGCTTTGTCTCGTCTTTTATAAGCAAATACAACACTATCTTTTTATCTTCAAATTTGTGGAATGACAAGAAGAAATTGCCAATCGATAGAGAATGTCCTGCGTGTAAAACGTTGTTTTTTTAAAATATTTTTATTTAAAAATATAATAAAATAATATATTTTTTTAAAAAATATTTTTACTATCAAAATGATCTGAAAATATTTTAAAAAAATTAATTTAAAATAAAAAAATAACTTTTTTTCGAAATACTTTTATAAAACTGTGCATTTCATTTTCATTTGATTGATTGTCCACTTATGTTTCTTGCGAACACTTGCACGTGGTCGGTGAGATCATTAATGGTAGCGAGGCCTCCCCATTCCCATGCCTTGATATCCAATGATAGTTGAGAGATTGGTTGCCTTCTAAAACATCATTAACTTGGGAGGTAAGGTAGTCAATGATTAATTACAAGTTTGGTTTCATCAAATCTTTTGCAAGTTATCACCATTACATCATCGTTGTCATGAATAAAATTCCCAAAGAAGCAAACTTAACATACTTGGAGGTAGAAGGGTTTTTGTGGTCGGTTATCATTAACGTTATTAAACTTAGGTTATAAATCGAGTGTATTAATTCATGTTAATTAAAACAGCTTTTTTATATTTTTTGAAGAAAAAAAACTAAGTTTTAACTAATTTATTTGGATTACAAGTTAACTTATTAAGTTAACTAGGCCAATTCTATATTAATTTTATTAAATTTAGTCTGATTTAAATTAAAAAATATTCGAATATCTTACAAAAAAAAACATATAATATATGTTTTTTTTATAAACAGCATGTTTCTTACACAAACACATCCTTAACCGGGTCTCAAATCAATGTGTTTACACCGATGATAAACACCAAACAACAACTATGAAGCTAAGAAGATATAAATTGATTTGCATGTTTTTCTTCCGGAAAAAAAAGAAAAAGAAAAAAGAAACAATCATGGGAGCAATCCTTGCCCCACCGTGACAAGACAATAAAACACGATCCCACATTTTACAGGATTCTGCGATAGTTTGAAAACCCCATTTCTGCTTTGCACCGAACAGAATGATGAACAATTCTGCTGCAGTCAACTAAGACACTCGTTGTGCTGCCACACAGCAACACTAAATCCATTCCTCGTTTCGATTCAACCTTTTCTATCGGCAAATAGGGTACTGAGGGTAGAGAGAAGCAATAAGTAAAACTTTGATCATCATTCCGACAAAGATTCTGCAACACAATTATATGGGTCTTGCTATATATTAATGAGTGATTTGTACTAAAGGTCTGTACTAGAGCGTGCCATGAAAGTGCTAGCCGTTATTTACTGCATCTGTGAGTCTTGTAAGTGTTTAATGACAATGCAGGTTGCAACCTGTCAATTGATGCTCCCGGCCTACTCTTCCCTGTTTAAATCCTACGAAAAAATAATTCTTTAATTTGATCTCCTATTTATTATATAGCAGAGGATTGTTGGTTTTTGTTTCTGTTCTTTCATCTAGTTTTTGTGATTTCTTTGTATATCCTTATGTAATCAAATAATGTTTATCTGGGAATTTTTGTTTATATAAAAAATATTACAACTTTTTTGTTTTAAAACGATATTATTTTATTATTATTAAAAAATAATATAAATTATATTTTAAAACCTTTCTCAATTTAAATTAATAGGTTGAATTGATTGGTATTAGAATCTTAATGATTAAGCAATCATGAGTTTAAATTTTATTATTTTTATTTATTTAATAAAAATTAAATATAAAATAAAATAAATTCAAAAATTTCAAATTCAATTTTTTTTTATTTAAATTAATTATATCTTATAATCTTACATGATATTAACATTAACGGATATACATGTGCTCGACACCCACTTGTAGCCATCAGAAACAGTTGCCTCCCCCACACAAATTTCACAAGCTACGATCTTTCTCAGAGGGAAGACAATCAATACCAGTTTCTGCCATATATAGCTCTCAAGGGATATTTCTAAACTCAAGTAAACGCATACTCTTCTCTTAGAAATTCGTGCAAGTTGCTACTTAATTTGTCATCTGCCATGTTTGCACATGGTGATGATCTTGAAGGTTGGGTTGGCACTTTGTCTTTCTCAGGGCAGAAAATGACGCTTCTTCCTCAAGGGAAACTAAAATACAAAAACCAAACACATAATTTAACCCCCCAAGAATTAACCTGCAAGTCACCAAGAACAAGATTGTTCGGACCCCTTTTTGAATCCACATGGAGTGTTCTTCTACCTTTGACTGTTAGTTTTGTCTGGGGAAAAAAAAAAACAGTGCAGGGATCGAATTTGGAGCTTTGTCTTGCTCAGTCTTTCATGGGGTAAATAGTATTCTCTGTGTGATCATATTTTGA